GTGTATTCATCAAAACAATTTCCAACTTATGAAGCCTAAAGAACTGGCTATTCTATAAAACACAATGCCCAAAACGAACAGATTAAAAAAAAATCACTCATGCATAGAAAAGGATTTTAAAAAATGCTTCCACTGATCATCCACACTCTGTCAACAGGGCACATGTAGGTGTAAACAACAAAAAGGTGCGTTCTTTGAAACTCAATAAGGCTAGGAAATTTTGTTAACTCCTAACCTCCATGTGAATACGCGTATCAATGCCGGGACTTCCAACAATAAAAAAAAATTTCAATTCATATCCCAAATCTTTGTTGCTTGGATTGTCTCACCTGTGAATGTATTTTAAACCAACTTGTTGGAAATTCACACCTCGGGAATTCCCAGTAACTGGAATGCGGCGGGGAAAAAAACAGAGAAGCGGACGTCTGCATTTTGTATCGAACCCTGGCCCGAGTTTTGTCAGTTGTGGTTGGCGTGTGAAAAAGCTTGTTTGACCGGGGAACCGCACAAAGTTTCAAAGCTGCAAAGCCAATGAATCACGTCGGCTCAGACAAAGAAGCACTGTGAACAATACCAGCCCGTGGAAAGCAGGAACCAGTTCACGGCTTTTCCTCATTGTTGGCACAGAAATGTACACTTGGCACAGCAACGCGTGTCAAATAGCGGGTGAACCGGGGACATTGTGCCCTGCTAGTAAAATATATGGGCCTTCTCTGGTTCCCATGTGTACAAACATCAAGGGGCCTTGTAGCAAAAATATATTTTGTGTATATTTATACTGTCGCCCAACAGGGAAATCCAAATAAACCTGAAACCCGATAGGGGTCTATGTGGTTTAATGTTAGGTGAGGCCAACTCGAAGCGCTTAGTGATTTATCAGATCCATTAACAACCCATAGAGGGCAATTTGGGGGGGACAGCGTGGTGGAGGGTGTGAGATTGATGGAAAGGAATCAAAAAAGTACGCACATGAACTGTTCTGAATCTTGGAGGTCAGATTCGAAATCGTCGTAGCCTCTAATGGTGGTTAAGAACACAATTACATTAGACTGGTACCAGGATCATTACAGGAATGAAGGTGGGCGGTAGTTTTCCCAATTCCTGGGATGACACCAGTTACCATACCATTCCCATGCCGAGATGCATGGCTGGGTATCCAGCAGCCACTGGTCACAGGTGAAAACAGAGAAATTGGCCGGGTGCCTACACAACCAGGAAGCAGGTTGATAGCCCAATTGAACCTGAATCTGCTCAATTTAACCCGATCTCATTTCGGCCCACCGAGACCATTCTCTCCTCCCTCCCACTTTCCAGCTTATCTGCTATACCCTCCAAAGATGAAAAACACCGTTAACCCCTGACGCAGGATTCTCTAGTGGGCCAGCCAGTTTCTTACTTTAATGCAAAGCATGTGGCTCTTGGGCAATACCGGGTACCTTTGATGAGAATAAACTGCTTCGTGTTCTTGTCCTTCAAAGAAAGTTGCTTCAGTTTAAAAGTTTTTCAATGAATGTGGCATGTCAATTTGTTTGCATGGTCTTCCTCTGCAGTACCAAAAGTCATGAGCGATCCACAAATCATCTTGTTAATAGCTTGCTGACTTAACTATAAGCCTCAAGCTAAACCAAGAGAGGGCGCAATTTTCCTCTAGAGCAATGCAGGATCCTTTGGTAGGAATTACACTTTGCTGGCTCACAAATGACTAGAAAATGCAGGTGTACGGTCGCATCACTACCAACATGGCCCCTTTCGACCCACCAGGGGGTACTTCTGCTCAAGATGGATACTCACCCTCAGAATTTCACGGCAGATGTAGGCGATCCACTCCTCCTTCAAGGCATTGCCCTTGGTCGCCTTGACCAGATCCGTCACAGATCCCGCCCCACAAAACTCCATCACCAACTACAAGCAAAAAAAATGGACACATAAACATGCGCATACTCATCAATGAAGTTCTATTCCCTGGCAAAACCAAAGATTCTCCTCAGCTTTTAAAAATGGCACAGCATCAAGTGAAATTTCAATGAACTTAATCCCTCCCCCATTTTGACAATTTCTGTACCATTTTTTGAGTGCCAGCACCGATTGGACTCCAAAGTTTCAAAGCACCGGTACATGTATCTTACCAAGGTGACCTCTCTCAATAGTGAACAGACATACATGTACATTTCTCTCTCAATGGTCACACATCTGCAGAATGTGGGGCCCCATTTAGCTGGGATACCTACCCATAATTGGTCATCTGTGCCTCGTATGCCCTTCTTGATGAACGCCCCGTAGTACGTGGCTATGTTTCTGTGATGTGAATACTTTGGAACAGAAAAAAAAAAGGCAGACACCAAATTAGGGCACTGAAAGAAAAAGAGGCACATGGACATGTTCGTGCGGCTGAACGGGAAGAATTGTTTATGGAGAGATGTGACTACACTGTATATCTGCAGAGATCCTAATAGGCGTCGTAGCGATTGTACCAAAGTTGCCACCAACTGACCCAGGAACCAATGCTGAACATAGAAATTAGGCCGTGCTGAAAACCCAAATATTCGATCGATTATCAACTATTTGAATATTATTTTCCAAATTTGAATATTCGAATGCAAAATTCATGCAAAGGAAGGGAGAATGTTCTTTTGTTTAAAATGAGAAAAATGGCACTCCGTACAGAGGCTTGTTTTGAGAAGATTCAAATGAAAAGCAATAGGAATCTTACGACTCAAAAAGTAAATTATTCATTAAAAAATTTAAAAGGATTACAAATTTTCAACAGGGTAAGAAGTGTTGTTCCTCTCTCAAATCTTGGGAAATCATGGCTGGAGATTCTCCTAGATGTGAGAAGCTTTTATAATGTATATGTGTATGCATTATTGCAACTGACTTTGTGTATGGGTTCAATCGACAATTTGCCGTCAGTAAGACCAAATATTTGGTGGAATTGTAGGTTAATTATTCAGATAATGAATTGGTAGAACTGACTGGGCCCTGCATGGAATATATGAGTACCTGTGTAATTCCAGAAATTAAAGGTCCATTTGTGTGTGTGTGTCCCTGTCACATCTGACATGTGATTTTATAAGTTCAGAAAACATTTTCTAATTTCCGCGAGTGATGAATTTATGCAAATTACCTGCCAAACAAAGAGCAACAGTTTGAAATCCCTTCCAGTGATATGTCCATGTCAAATCACAAAGGTCAGATGTAACAGGGGCATGAAAATGTCACACTTTTGGACCCCTAATTTCTGGAATTACGGTACCCATCTGCATTTCATGCAGAAAATACAGGTTATCGGCCAAGAGGGCATGAGATGCACATTTCCCTTCCGTGAGGATGTGAGTGGTTCCCAGCTGACTACTGGTATAAAGCATGAATATTGTTCAGGAGATATTTTTGTGAAACTGGTCCAAGATGTGGATTCCTGCTTAACTGAGCCTGTGGACAAGTACCGTACTGGTATCCATCAGCAGTGACTAAGGCAGTGGTGCACGCGTCACTGACAATTGAAGACCAATGCGACTACCCGTTGGTGAGGAGTTAGCACCCACAAAATGATACAATGGTTTGTACACATTCAGACGAAAGCTACATGTAGTACTGCATCACAATCACAAACTGCATGTACCTGGTATTTTGGACCAATGCGACTACCTGTAGGTGAAGTGTTAGCACCCACTAAATGATACAATGGTTTGTACACATTCAGGCGAAAGCTACATGTAGTACTGCATCACAATCACAAACTGCATGTACCTGGTATTTTGGAAACGCATGAGGGATCTAAGGGACTCAGGAATAACAAGGGACCCTTGTTCCCATCTGTTCAACACTGAAATCCCATGACTGGACTTCATGTGAATTTCACTTCCACAACTGGGCAGAAACAGACTCGAATCTGTTCCTGATTGATTATCTTTCCAAGATTTATCATCAAATCACGGGCGTCAAAATAGCAAAAACAGGTTCAACTTTCACATCAGATGACATTTGACGGACATCTTTCTCACCAAATCATTTCCAAACCAAAACAAGTTTTCATCAGCTGGTAAGAAACAGGAACAAGATTTTCCGACTGACCAGGGTCATTTCCTTTGTTGATACCTGTTGCCATGGCTATCGGCACCACAAAACCCCGACAAAAGGAAACTGCATGTCCATAAATTCAGAGCAATATTGCTTCTACTCTAAACACTGATAATAATAGTTCAAGTATTTATCTCCACTTTTTCCAGCCAAATATTATTAACTACAAGTGCATTCAACTTAAAGATTCTGAAAGCCAAAGTACTGTAAGTGTGAATTGTCCCATTAGAAATGGACGGTTAAGGTATCTGCAAAATTCTGAATTTTCAAAGCTGGCATTTTGGAGGCAACCAAATTACCCAGCCGTAGCAACAAAATTTGTTATTGAAGAAACATTTTTCATTCTTTTCTCAACAATACAACCTGAATAAAATAAGGTCAACAAATAAAAAATTTAGGGAAAAAATGGCCCTAAATTTTTGTAATTTTTTCCAACAACCAAATTCTATCAGGATTGACAAAAAATAACAATTACTGGAAATGTGCATTTTACACTGAAGTCAAGACATCCAGAAGTACATGAAGGAACCATTTTTCATGAACTGTCCAAATCAGCCACAAACATACTGATTCAGATTAAATTATTAGTTCTCTCTGAGATTCTCTGAAACCAGGCAACTCTTCAAAGAAGTCTTAAGAAGCCGGCCTCACTCACTTCAAACATACACATTCATTCCTGTACTGAGCAAAATGGCTCTATTCAGAAATGTCTTCATCAGACGCGAAGCCAATAAAGCGGCAACACTTTTGCAGCAGTATCAATTCCAGGCCAACAGAAATATGTCCCGGTTCCCTTCTCTCTTCGCACGCCGGCAAAAACCAATAACTGCCCGTCACGGTGGAAATCGGGTTAGGCAAACAGAGTGCACCAAGTCGATAATTTGGGGAGTGGAGACCAATATTCAAGATTTTGTTTTTAATGACAGTGACACTGTACTTTTTATTCCCTTAAGTGTAACTTGATACTGATAACAAAATACAGAATATTTCTAGACAAAAAAAAATGTACAGTACATGTAATCTCAAAAATGTCACCATGAAAAAAGTTTGAAAATGAAGTTTCCAATTTGAACTCTACTGCCAAAGCTTTCGTTCCTTTCCTACAAAGACCTCTTATTCAACATGTATTGCCCGCTTGCAATATCTGCATTGTACTTGTAGTCCATAGTTTAACTGAAAAAGTTTAACAGAAAAGGCTCAAAAATGACCAGGAAGTCCCATAAGATCAATCTGGAAAACTTGATTTCGCCTTCTGGGCACACAAATCTACAAGGTTAACTGAAAATGCAAAATAAAAGTTCAGCTTTTCTGTGAAGTTGTTCATCTACAGAATACGTCCTGTCTTTGGCCAAGGTCCCCTTCCCAACTCCAAGTTTTCATCAAAAGCTATTTGCAATTTTCCAACAATCAGGTCTTTACAAAGCAATCACAGTGATGCCTTTTCAGTGTGTAGGTAACTAGTTTACCACTCCCCCCATTTAAAAAAAACCTGAAGTCTGCGACTGTGATTTCCATTAACAAGATTTCACAACAGGGCCCCAATTGTGAGTCAAAATGAATCAAACACAAGCAAACAATAAACAGCTTCTTCTGTGCACGCCCTGAGAGTCACTCCAAATAAATCCAGTGTGACCCTGCTCCAAACAACAATTCCTACTCCCGATAAAGGAAACCCATCCAAACTCAATCACACAGCAGAATAACCCATTACCTCTCATTAACAGCCTGTCCCTCTGTCCCCCAATTATCCGCCTGAAGATTAAAGACATCACTCGCCTTTAATGCATTAATTCTGAAGCCATCCAGCATAGAGTGCAGGGGTTTGTAAAATTCAATGTTGCGACAGTGCAAAGGGTCAAGGAAGGGGATAAGGTGTAACTGCATGGAATGGGCTGGAAGTTAATGATGCAAACAGACCTGCCAAAACACCATTAACTCTTGTCCTTGTAATCTGGGTCAAAAGGTCTGCTTGCCAACAGGAATTGATGCAAGCAGGCAACCCCCAAACATACCAGTGCATGTACAGATAGGCCAGACTACATGTTTATCCAAAGGCCAGACTATATCCATTTGCTAACAATCTACTACACTATCCATACTCAACGGTGCCATATTGGTTCCAGACTAGTGTCAAAGGTTGGGCTGGTTTTTTTTTTGGGGGGGGGGAGAACATTGGTGTTTATAATTACCTTTTTCAAAACGTTTATCTCCAGTTTGATTTCCTCTTCCTCTTCCTGGACAAGAAAAGGTGAGAGAAAGAAAACAAGAAAAGAGTTAATAAATTACGACAAGAAATAGTTGATATTAAGTGATTACCGTGTACACGTTCATACTGAATGGAACAGTGTCACAGGGGCACATCAGTATGTACATCGTTTGTATTTCCCCCGTCTTTAGTAATGAAGAACAAAACATACACATACATGTACAAGTGCCCATGTGGAATACTGCTTGCACATACCGCATGTGACATGCTGAAAAGACGTTCAGTTCCACTCTAGAACCTCCACATTTCTTCCATCACTTAACATTTTTTTGGCCTGAAACCTACCATTCTGAATCCTCCCAAACTGTCTGCTGTGTAGGAAAATAACAGAACTGTATTGTATTCTCTAACCTTTACAACTGCAAGAAAGAGTGTCTGGGCTCTGCCTTCCTTAATCCTACAAAATCCTCCAAAACCTCATAGGGAACTATCACAGAAGGGCACGACTGAAAATTACTATTTCAAACCAAAAACTGATGCACGTGCACATGTACACTGGTTACATGTACATGTACATGCTGAATGGTACATGTACTTAGGTACATGTACATGTAGACTTTCACATGAACATACCTGGACATGTACATGTACCTATGTGTACCGTGGCCAAGAAAATTGAAAAGGAAGCATTGATCTGGGGACAATTGACACGTACATGTATCATATATTGCATGTATCCGCTCTGAGTTGAAGGGCACCCTCACCGACGAAAGAAACACAGACTGGTATAAAGTTTTCCAACCGGGTTCTTGCACGCATTCGGCATATTGGTACACGCAGAGACAGTACGTTCCAACATAAATTTGTTGCGCGTACTCAGCGTGCCCCGCGTCCACTTGCGCACCTATGCAGTGAGTTCATACCAATGGGCTGTCAATTTCGTTTAAAAGCACGCCCTCTTTTGTTCCTGCTCAGAGCCGATATTCCAGTACAGTGTATAATGAATGTAAATTCATTTGACAGTTTCCCTATTGAACAATGCATGAACATTTTGATATTGCCCGCTGCGGTTTGATAATGCCCTTTGCATAAAAACCTGATGGCACCTGGATGCGAGACACTTTCATCCATTCCTATTGGTCAAGAGTCTGTGTGCACTGCAGCACGTAGAACTTACCAAGCGCGCGGCAAGTCCATATAAGGCGATTCTTCTGGACTACTTGCACAAGGAATGTACCATCAAAATCGATGGGGGGTGTTCGGGAAAATGAAAGTAAAATTCTTGACAAAATCCTCTGAAATTTATCATGTATTGACTTCTTCTGACTCGCTGACTAATGTTTAAGACAAGCTCCGGAGATCGCACGCCGATAGTGCCCTCACTGGCGGCTCGGGCATTAGTCGCCGTCCATTCTCCTGAGCCAACCTTAAACGTACCAGTACATGTATGTTTAAGGCCGGCCAAGAACAAGGCATTTATTTATTTCCCTATTGATCGTACATGTACATCTGAAACTGTGATTAACAATTCTGTATTGATCAAACAAACCTCAAGCAAATAATTCAAAATCACTCATATACCGGACTGTATGGATCAGTACATTAAAACTGTCCAGCATACATGTACATCATTTTAGGACACCACTCGCCAATATTCAGTGTTCTCGTGGCAGTTCATGAGCCCTCCTCTCGCCCTTTAAAATATCAACAGCCTGGCAACTGGCCTTTGTCACGTGTGTGCGCCTAGCCTTCGATTAATTGACGGTGTCTGGTGCGACAATCAATGCAGTAAATTTCATTATTAAACCAAGTCTTGTCCGTGGCCCCGAGAGCAAACGGAGTGAATAATGCTCCTTCAGGTACAGGGTGCGGTAACATGGGCACACCACGTTGGACAGAGTCTGCTAGGAAATTTTTCTCCAGCCAAGGCAGAGACATCTCTGCAGGGCAGATAATGGATCTACCGTACCTGCACAGCAGACGGGGCAGAGGGCCCTCATGAAGCAACCTCCCCCCCCCCAAAAAAAAAGAAAGAAGGGAAATGGCACATGTACCAGACACCACCAACGATTGCAGCAGACCAAGAAAGTATTTCAAAAATGACGATAACAACTTCGTCCACCTCGGCGACCATACAGACAGGGTTTCAGAAATTACCGTACTCAAATGTCAAAGAAACAAACAGTCAACGAAGTTCAAGTCGGGGACATTTCTACTTAGTACAATTTACGTGTACCGCACGTGTTAAGGAGGCAGGCGTACTTTATTGGACTCAGTACCCTATTTGTTAAAGCAACAAGGGGTCAGAAATACAAGAGAAACTTATTGCTAAAAAAAATTGGAAATTTTTAAGGATTTTTTTTGGAGAAAATTACAAGAGCTAAAATGAGTTGAAAGGAAAGAGTTCTTCAAGCAATTGCCTAGCAAAACTTTCACCCTCCTTGTTTACGTTATGCATACAGGTATTCTTTCTAAAATGACAGCCAGTGCAATACTTGTAGGTTTCCAGTTCCGAGTAGTATAAAAAAAGTAGGTGTAACTAGAATCAGAAAAAAACTTTGACCTAGACCGCCTTGAAAACCAGAGTTTTTTGGTATTGCTGACGTACATGTACGTGTACACACATATCCATACATCACTTCATTATCTTTCTGGTAGATTTGAGGAGTTTGGAGCCAAACGTTAGATTTAAAGGGCCGGCCTGGATGTCAAGATGACACAACCGGACGATGAACACACACAAGACAAAGGGGGGGCTGGACAAGATGGCATTGACATGCATGCATGACCAAACTAGGCAATGCCAAACAAAGGCGGATAATGTTGTAAGCTGTAAAACATCCCAGCAACCAGATGGCGGACTTCAAGAGGAATTTTGGACATGCGAAATTGAGATTTAGCCCAAAGTGGAACAAACTGTCCCGCTACGTGAAGTAGCCAGTCATGAAGGATTTCATGCTAGTTCTAGAGTAATGCCTCTAATGGTTGAGTCCACCGGCACATTGCAGGCAGCCATACCGGTACAAAGAGGGCTTTTTCTGAAAATGACAACAAAAAACACCAGGGGCAATGGGGACATTGAGGAGGTTTGGAGCAATGCAACCAAACTTGGTCATCTCAAAAATATCGGCATGCATCACTTTCAATGGCACTATTGGTCGGAACTGAACTTCACTGGTTCGTGAACGACTAGAAAATGCTTGTGTCTTGGTCGCATCGCTACCAACAAAATGAACACTCCCGGCCAACACGGCTCTTTTCAAACAATGAGGGGGTGCTTCTGCTCGAGGTGGATAATGAAATCAAAAGCAACAACAAACAACTTGGACACATAATGTACACACACCGGTATGTGTACGCTTGTACATCATTTCCACTTGTCAAATGCTGACACTGGTAAGTTTGCGATCCTAAGATGCAATTCACTTTAGGTTGAAGGAACTACCAATGAAAAAAAGCAACATTACCGAGGAACAAAAATGGGCAAGGGAAGGGTTGGAAAAGTTTTATCCTCCCCGCACCCTCCCCCCAAAAAAGAAAAATCCCCCCCAAAATTTCATACATGTCGGCTGCCAGGGAAACGAGTCTTGAGAGCAACCAAGCAGGTTTACTGTAAATGTACATGTATGTCTTCATTCTGCAACACAGCCTGCAAAGCATGTACACCTGTATTCAATGTGGCTTTGCAACGAAATTGGGGAGAAAAAAAACGTGTTCAGGCAAAGCTGCAACATGTGCAGTGCACTCAAGTAGCAAGTGGTCCGTCATGGCATGCGGAAGACACTTTTTAAAAATAGCAGCAAACTATCAAATTATTCCTATCGCAGACCAGACGGACAAGACTTTGAGGCCAAGAAATCCAGGGGGCACATAAGATATGTACATGTGCACAGCACAGGATATGACTGCAAACCAAGTTAGGATTAACGACTTGGAAAATTGAAGAGATAAGCTTGAATATGCCACATAACGGGTTTGAGAGTACATGTGCATGTATGCACCAGAATGATTCATGTAGTTAATGATTGGAACGGATATTTTATAGGGAAAAAAGAGCAAAATAGTGAATGTTGATTTTACTAACTTGACTTCCCTGGCTGTGTCATAGCGAAAGAGCCTAAGGCAAACCGACCCCAGATTGAACCCTGGGGGGAAAAAGGGCAGCCAACTCCATTCTGGATACCGGCCAATTTTGACCGCAACTTTACCAGTGTGTGGGACGGGCTTGGACTATCTTAAATCCGGAAGGTTTTAAAATTAGACCGACTTGCTTCAGGGATCGGATGACAGGCACAGCATGGTATGCAGAACGGTTGCTGTAGCTGCCTCCTTCCCATCCTTAAAAGAAGTATATCAATGCTGCCGGCAAAACTGTGCAGATTGTGAGATACTAGAGCAGGAAGTTTTATCAAACCTACAAGTACCATTTGCTTGATTTACCTACATGTACATGACATGTACAGCATATGAATCATAGTTTTTGTTTTGTCAAGAATGGAAGACAGTTTTTCTTTGTTTTGCCTGTCTGGTTTCTAGGCTTTGCTCTCTCTATCGACCGCAGGTTTTCACCTCCCAACACGTCAATGGCACATATTTATGCACACTGGTATTTATTTGCAGGAAATGGTTGTTTTCACTGTTCATTCCAACAATTACAACTGAAAGACACAAGTTTGTGAAAGTGAAGCAACAGCAGTCGTATGTGCACAATCTCTCCAAAGAGTAAAATAAACATTGAACACTCTTTCTACACAAATAACATTCTCACTATCATCCACTGCATACGTACATGTATCCATGTCCGTGTACATGTTCCGTACATGCAAAAACCAGTCAGTGCATATGTACTGGTACGTGTACATATGGTAAAGCTGTCATTAACCCTGACACTACATGTACATAATACTACAAGTTACTACTTGTGGTAAAATGTAGTACTGAGCGCTGTCCCTTGTAAGAGGACATGACCTTATTGTTCTGTGAAGCCATAAAATACAATAGAAAGACAATGTACCATACAGTGCTGTG